CGGTGTCTTATCGGCGGTCTCTGCCTGTGCAAATGCACAGGAATCCCGGCTGAGTGAGTGAATGACAGACACTCCGGGGTCTCGTCTCGGAGGCAGCGCGGGGACGTGGCCTTATGGGGGCTGCTGGATCCTGCTGGACAAATGTGAGAGAGTAATTAGATGTCGGACGGGCTGTGTCCGGCACTCCGAGGTCCTGAGGGACATGAGCTGTTAAAAGCATTTCCACTGGAGAAAGAAGAGATGTGGGTCCAGTTCATGACGTGCTTTTCTTCCTGTTCAGAGCTGACTGATGCCAAAGTAGAGAGGAGTGATGATGGTTTAAAAATTAACCATGGTTTTACTATAGTAAAAGTGAAGTAGCCATGTTTTTTTGTGAGATTGATTGCCATTTGTATAAGCACAGTTTTACTAGAAATACCATGGTTAAACTACTAGTGTAGCAAAACCATGGTTAATTTGTGGTTACCGTTAATAACTGTTTTTTTGTTTTATTATATATGTATATGGTAAAAATGTTTAAAGGATACACTTACAGAATCAGGAAAAACTAAATATAAAAGATAATATTACTATTATTATTAAAAATATGGTGTATATATATATATATATATATATATATATTTATATTTATATGCTTTTATGGGCATTAATAAAATCTACAAACTTTTGTAAGATCTGTTTTAAAAATTTTATATCTAGTACTGCCCTGAGAAGACGATAATAATAATATATTTTTTGTCTTTGCTAGATATCAAGAGTCTTATTTTGTATTTATATTATTTTATTTTTTATATTTTTTATTAAATGGGTCTTCATTTTTTCATCTAATGCTGCCCATAAAAATATTTAAAAAAATATGTAGATATGATGATGATGACTATCATATAGAACATAGATCACTTTTATGGGCCATATTACAAAAAAAGTATAAAATATTTTGAGTCTTTTTTTTTATATATATATAATGATTTTTTGTAAGATTCAAGATTTTTTGTAAAAAGACAGTTAATGCACGCATACTATATTTTGTCTTTTCAGGGCATTACTATATATAAAATAGATTTATATATTATTTATTGTTAGGTATTTTTATTAAAATGTTTTTCTAATGCTGCCCATAAAAAGTTTTATATAATCATAATAATTTATCATTTTTGTTCTTGTCTTTTCAGGGCAGTACTGGATATAAAAATGTCTTATTTTAAAATAGACATTGATATCACCAATATAATATATATTTATTTTATATCTATATTCACATATATTCCACAAAACAAAATGCATACACAAATTACCTTGTTTAAAAGTTTACACAGCCCCATCAATCGTCAGTGTCTGTTTGCTGCCAGTTGTGATGGTTGAATGAGTCCCTCAATTGTCTTGAGGTGCAGAACTGAATCTCAAAGTAAGTGAGACATTATGGGAAAGACCTCGAATGTGTAGTGCATGCTGTGAAACCAAAGAACTCACAGGA